TTTTCTAAAAATTTACTCTTCCAAGAATGATAATTTCAAAAGAGAAGTAAAAAAGTTGCAAAAAACGCAGATTTTTTATCCTTCTTAAATGAGGTTGTGTTCAATGTAATCAATTCTTTTTACAATGAAAAAAGGCAAAAGAAAAGATATACATACAGGGTGATAGAGCATTTCAAGCTCTATCAAAATACATATTTACTTCTTTGAAAGACTACCTCTATAGTAATGATAAAAGGAAAACATTGAATGAAACGACAACCACAAAAAATAATTTTTGAGAATCTGGACATGAGGGTGTCTTCATTGTAACCGATTTATTTTGATAATTTCTAAGCACAAAGTCAAAAGCAAATACACAAGATGATAGAGAACTCCATGAGCTTTCAGAATATGTAATTAAGTTTAAAAAATGATTTTATTATGGTAACAAAATCATTGAAATACTGACGGCAGCTTTTTTTTTCCAGGCGTATATGGGCAAAACCAGCCAGCGGTCACCCATCTATGAGGAAGGTTCAAAATCAGTACGTTCCCTAAAAACTTTTCTGTAACCGTCAGTATGACATCGAGAGATTGTTAAAATAGTCATATAATGTAAGTCACTCAGCTGCAGACTAATATCAAGTTCATCACTTTTATTAGACATTTTAAAACACAATAAATTGTATAATTTCACTAATTTTTCAGTTTGAAACTTTGCATTTTTGCCAAAAATATGAATGTAGTTTTCCACGAAATCTCAATCGGAAGATAAGAACGAATCGTTCAATTTGCAGAAAAAAATATATAAGGTTATTCTCGGTTAGAAATAAACAAATTTTGTTCATACTATCTTCGCATTTAAGGTGTGAAAATTTCCTCGTGAAAAGGGTCAGAAAACGATGAAATTCCGTAACGACTGAAGTTCCGTAACGGAGGGTATTTTTAGCTTTTTTATGCGAGTCAGTTGTATTTGTCAAAAACAACCATATATTCTGAAAGCTTGCTCAAAGCTGAACAAAATTCATTCAGAACATTTTTCTAAAGATTGCTTTCTTTCTTTATAAAATCGTAATCTCTCAGACCTCCATCAAAATTATTTCCATTTTTGAAATTCCGTAACGGATGATATTCTGCTGAGTAATTCAGGCATTAAACACTAAATTAAAATGCGTCGTGTTTATGTGTCGTGAATTATTGTGTCGTGCACTCCAGCAGAAAAATGTGTCGTGCACAGAATGTGTCGCATACAAATTTTTCGCGTTCTGTCTGCTAACTAGTCGTTCACTCTTTTATTATGCAGACTTGACGATATATAAACAACGTGGTTGAACGTAAGAAAGATGAATTTTCAAAATATTCTTTTTTTTCTAAATTATTTCTCGATAGTCTTTGTCGAGAAAATGCCAATCTCGATTCATCATCGAGAAAGGACTACATTGGAGTCGTCTGATGCAAATCAGACCAACTCGAAGCAGGAAAGATCTCAGGATCTAACCTGCTAGAGTTTTCATCATCGAAATAATTCAATGGAATTATATTGAACAGAAAAAAATTGAAATAATTATGCTTTTCGAAAAGAACCAATAGAAAATGTGTCGCATGTGTCGTACAATATGTGTTGCAGCCTCGCTGGAGAAAATGTGTCGCAGTGAGCTCCTTGTGTCGTACTGCAATGTGTCGTACAATGTGTCGCAAATCATGACACATGCGACACATTTTTATTTAGTGTATTTAAAAGAGAATTCGGTGAAATTTTTACTGGTATGAGACCTCAATGGTCTTCACTTATGGCGAAATTTTCATAGAGTTTGCTTTTGCTGTGACGGAGATTTACACGTTACAATATAGAAAAATGAAATTCCGTAACGCTGGTTTTACCCATATATCGATTATGAACACAGAGAAATCCTCACAAACTGCTTCTAGTGAGCCAGCAGCGATGGCCACCGCCAATAATAGTGCTGTGCTGCGTGAACGTATGCGTCCAGTCCTCGAAAATTGCCTTTTGATCTGGCTTGATGCCGACTTCGATGAATCGAAAAATGATTATAAACAATCAATGCAACAGCTTCGAAATATCATAGCAACAATTATAACATTTACAGATGCTGATCAATGTATTGATTATCTCAGTGACATTGAAGATGAAAAAGTGTTGATGATTGTATCTGGTTCACTGGGACAACACGTAATACCGGAAATTCAAGCATGTCCACAATTAGACTCTATATATGTTTTTTGTGACAATCAATCAATGCATGAGCAATGGGCAAGAAAAATACCTAAGATAAAAGGTATTTGCACACAAATTGAACCGATTTGTAAAGCATTACAAGTCGATCATGAACATTGTAATCGATCTATGATCTCGATGAGTTTTCGTGGCATTGATCCTTTATTTATGTATACACAGTTGCTTAAAGAAGCATTTTTGCAAATCGAAGATGATGATGCAAAAACTATTAAAGAACTAGTTGACTATTGTCGTATTCACAATGCTGCTTCTCCAACCACACTGGAAAAGCTCGAACGAGAATATAGTGATCATCCACCAAGTTGGTGGTATACAGGTCCCTTCTTTATTTATTCTATGCTCAATCATGCTCTTCGACTTATGGATGTCGATGTTATAATGAAAATGGGTTTTTTCATTCGTCATTTACACAAACATATTGAACAATTACATGGTGAACAACAATCCAGCGAGACTACCAGTGCGCTATTCACAGTCTTCCGTGGACAAGGTTTGTCCATGGAAGTCTTCGAAAAAATGAAACAAACAAAAGGAGGACTTATGTCCTTCAACAACTTCCTCTCAACCAGTCGTCAACGACACATTTCACTTCACTTTGCACGTCAGGCACTCGGAGATAAAAATTTCGTTGCCATTCTTTTCGTCATGAACATTGATCCAATGGTATGCAAAAAATCAAACATGCCATACGTCGACGTGAAAGGGGTCGGTTACTACGACAATCACGAAGAAGAAGTGCTTTTTACCACACATACAATTTTTCGCATCAATCAAATAAAGTGCATCGAGGACAGTGACACAGATCAACTATGGCAAGTTAACCTCACCCTTACGGGCAACGACGATAACGAACTTAACACACTTACCTCACATTTCCGCGCAAAGCACAACTGGACAACAGGATGGAATCAACTAGGAAGAATTCTTATTGAACTGGGTGATCCTGCAAAAGCAGAACGTCTGTATACGATTCTCCTCGACAAGGCTTCTTCTGATACAGAACGAATGGAATACAACCACAATCTTGGCATAGTGTATAATGGCATCGGCGAATACTCGAAATCACTTTCATCACACCAACGATTACTTGAAATCCGAAAAATTGCTCTCCCTCCGAATCATCCTGACTTGGCTTCTTCCTACAACAACATCGGTTCTGTGTATTATAACATGGGCGAGTACTCCAAGGCACTTTCATCGTACGAACAAGCACTTGAAATCCATAAAATAGCTCTCCCTCTCAATCATCCCGACTTGGCGGCTTCCTACAACAACATCGGTAATGTATATTATAACATGGGCGAGTACTCAAAAGCACTTTCATCGTACGAACAATCACTTGAAATCCGAAAAATAGCTCTCCCTCTCAATCATCCCTCGTCGGCTGATTCCTACAACAACATCGGTATGGTGTATGATAACATGGGCAAGTACTCAAAAGCACTTTCATCGTACGAACGATCACTTGAAATCAAAAAACTAGCTCTCCCTCCGAATCATCCCGACTTGGCTTCTTCCTACAACAACATGGGTATCGTGTATATAAAGATGGGCGAGTACTCGAAAGCACTTTCATCGTACGAACGATCACTTGAAATCAAGAAAATAGCTCTCACTCCCAATCATCCCTCCTTGGCTACTTCCTACAACAACATGGGTAACGTATATAGAAAGATGGGCGAGTACTCGAAAGCACTTTCATCGTACGAACGATCACTTGAAATCAAAAAAATAGCACTCCCTCCGAATCATCCCTCGTTGGCTGATTCCTACGGCAACATCGGTATAATGTATGATAACATGGGCGAGTACTCAAAAGCACTTTCATCGTACGAACAATCACTTGAAATCGGAAAAATAGCTCTCCCTTCGAATCATCCCTCTTTGGCTTCTTTCTACAACAACATCGGTGCAGTGTATTTTCACATGGGCGAGTGCTCCAAAGCACTTTTATCTTACGAACGATCACTTGAAATCCGAAAAATAGTTCTCTCTCCGAATCATCCCGACTTGGCTTCTTCCTACAACAACATTGGTACCGTGTATAGAAAGATGGGCGAGTACTCGAAAGCACTTTCATATTTTACACAAGCCCAACAAATCTGGCAAAAATCACTGCCTCCTACTCATTCACATATTTCCCTTGTGGAAACAAACATTGAAATTGTGAAAAAGAAATTGTAATTCTTTTTCTTCGTTTTTTAAATCACGACAATATACCGCGCTCTTTTTTCTTCTGTAGTGATCAACCTGAATGGTTTCATTTCACCAGTATCACGGAATGTTGGGTCTCGCGCACGCACGACCAGGAATACTCTCCGTATTCTGATGGGCAATACACTGGACAAAGCCGGCTGAGGGTGTGGGTGTGGGTGTGAATGTGGGTGTGTGTGAGTGTGGGTATGTGGGTGTGTGGGTGTGGGGTGTGGGTGTGGGTGGGTGTGGGTGTGGGTGGGGTGTGGGTGTGGGTGTGGGTGGGGTGTGGGTGGGCGTGGGCGTGGGTGTGGGTGTGGGTGGGTGCGGGTGGGTGTGGGTGTGGGGTGTGGGTGGGGTGTAGGTGTGGGTGGGTGTGGGTGTGGTTGTGAGTGTGTGGGTGTGAGTGTGGATGTGGGTGTGGGTGTGAGTGTGGGCGTCGGTGGGTGTGGGTGTGAGTGTGGATTCAGGTGTCGGTGTGAGCTGCAAGATGATCGACGCCCACGCCCACACCCACACCCACACCCACACCCACACCAACACCTACACCCGCACCCACCCACACCGACACCCACCCACGCCCACATCCACACCTACACCCCCACCCACACCAACACCCCATCCACACCCACACCCTCACCCACACCTACACTCCACACCCACCCACACCCACACCCACACACCCATACCCACACACCCACCCACATCCACGCTCACGCACACCCACACCCACACCCAAAGTTTGTTAATAAATTATACAGTGATGCTACGAAAGTTCGGTGTGATTCTTTTGGAGAACTTCACTTGATTGGTTCAACACTATAAATCACTGTTATCTGGATTGAAATTCTTCAGAAACAACTGATTCTTGTGCCGATTGA